TATGGACTGTGTGAAAATTATTTAACTCTCTTTACATGATAATGTTGTTACGTGACTCTGGCTTTAGCATCTGCAGCGTAAAAATTAGTTTTAAAGATTTTCTAAACCAGGGGTAAAATAAGGCATAGATCAATGGGTTAAAAGTAGAATTTAAATAAAACAGAAGAAAGGGGACAGATGAAGCACTGACTGCATCATCTTCTGAAATTAGTGAAACACAGAAATATGGACAGGTGCAAACTAGAAACACAACTACAACAATCCCCAGCGTTATGGCTGCCTTTATTTCAGATTTCTTAGCTGTGATGGTCACTGAACCCTGAATTGAGACAGCTGCAACATGAGACTTCATAGATCGAGCCTGAGACACAACCACTACAAACACCCTCGCATACAGAATAATGATAACGGTGACCGGACAAATAAAGGATGACAAAAGGTCAAAAACTCCCCCAAAATAATCTAAAAACACAAGACACTCTCCTGAGCAGGAATTATACCTGCCTGGGTGTTGCAGGTTGTCTCTAAAGAGAACACAATTATAAAGAATTGAGCACATCCAAAACAGAGAAACACATATCCTTGCTCGTTCTGCAGTGACTTTTGTGGGGTAGTAAAGGGGGTAACAAATTGCCACATAGCGATCAACAGATATAAGCACCATGGTTCCTATGGAGGAAGTAGTGATAACATAATCCAAGATAACATAGAGGACACATATGATGTCCCCAAGATACCAACAGTCATCTATCTGTGCTATTTGAAACGAAATGAGAAATCCAACTATGCAGTCTGAGATGGCCAGAGAGAGCAGGAAGATGTTGGTGGGGTTGTGGAGCTTCCTGCAGAAATAAGAAAACAACACAATACTGTTAGTGGTTGTAAGGCTAATGTTTATGCAAAGCAATTATTCAAAACCTTTCATTTTAAAATAGGTAAAACCTGTTTACTTGAAGCAGCAGATGGAAATGATCACCAGCAGGTTAAGAAATACAGTAAGTACTGAGATGAAAGATAATGCTAAATGAATAGTCAGGTATACATAGGGATGCTGCAATGTCCGTTTGCAGGATGAGTTTAACAGCTGTGGAAAGCAAAGTTCAGCTTCTTCTACAGTTTGCATATTTAGAGAGAAAGAGCAAAGAAGCTGTTCACATTTCTTTATGCTTCAGTCTCTACAGTAATTCTCTTTTATACCTTGCTCTCTTCCTCTTTGTGTGGAGCTGGGGAAATTATTAGGCATGGCCTATTTCTACTTCATTGTTCGCTCTACAGGGCAAAGTACATATATGCTCAAACTATCACTACTAGTGTTATTATAATCGTGTATTTCTTTACCAAAAGTTCTAGTGCCATGTGCGAATTGCTTATATGTAGCTATGATCAAAGCAAAATCATAAAGGCAGCCCTTGAAGTTTATTCACATACTCAATTTTTCTCAAAATTAGTTTAAAAATCTGTCTTAAACAGTTTGAGTGAGGACTCCTCCTTTGCCAAGTTAATCCATCCACCTCACATATGGGAAAGTTATAAGAACATTCTCTTGTAACTTCAGCAATTTCTTTTATGTGATGCTATCATCCTACAATTGACTTAATGTCAGTTTCTTAAACCTTTGCTTAAGAAACTGTCTCTTTAACCAGATGACTTGGTGAACAGTGTTGTGCACGTTATTTTGAAAAAGCAATTAGTTATAGTTACTAGCTACTTCTCCCAAAAAGTAACTGAGTTACTCCACAATAAAAGTAACTAGTTACTAGTAAAAGTAGCTATTGCGTTACTTTTGCGTTTCTCACCCCCGTAACCCTCACCACCCAGCCCCCACCTTCTCGCCGTGTGTTTCTAAAGCCAGCTGAATAGAGTGGACGACAAAGACAAGAACCTGCAGAGAGTTTTGCATTTATTGCAACTACACGTAAATTACGCTATCTGATGGGCCTATAAACCCCATCAGATAGCATTTCCCCTGCTTAACATGGGGGGAACGGTGTCTGATGCGGTTGAAATATCATCAGGCTGCATTACCGCTACTCATGTGTGTGAAGTTTTTTAACAGGGCGTTCAGATCTGGTGACTGTATGAAATTAATAACTGGG